GATGAAACAATGGTAAAAAAGTGTTGGCATGCATTTTCAAGAAATCCATATTTATTTTATATTTGTCAAATGCATGTGTTGGTGAGTACATGTAAACTGGGGCTACTCTGAAAAGAAAACAGTTAATTTTGTTTGTACGCACCACTGTTTATATAATTTCCATAGGCCCGTCCCTTAAAGTCGACTGTTTCAAGATGGCGTCGCGCTTTGCACGTTGGTCCCAGTGCGCAGCTTAGTGACGTCAAATGCGACGTTCAATGACCGGAAAATGTCGTTTTTTTCCTCCACTCAGAAAGAGGTCCGAGTTTACCTTGTTTTACGGTGTTCTGACATATTAAAAACTTTTAACTTCWGTTATAAATCAGTCTAAAAGTGGAGATATTTAATCTTGTCAGTTCTCCCCACAGCCCCAGCTCCCGGCAGGTGCTCCGACCACAGGTGTTTGTCCAGGTGGGTGAGGGAGGCTGAGAAGTGCGCATGCGCTTCTCCTCGTAATCCGTCCTACCGAGGTTAATGTGGAGCACCTGACAGCAAGTGTCGACACAAAAGTTTAACATATMTTTTCCTCATCTTTTAAACAATTTGTGACACTCTGTAGAATATTCTCGACATGTGTGGATGTTGTGTTTTTCTTTCGGCTGTTGTAGAACACCTTTAGTCTTCCGGTTAGGACCCAGGTACTGGTCGGAGCAGGTCCTGCTCTCTGCCTGAGACAAGCAGGAAGTCAGGAGGACACCGGGCCACTCCGTGGAACAGGACACTTTGTTCCGTGGACACGTTCTCACGCAGTTTGAATGTTCCTGAGAAAAGGTGAGTTCCTCCGAGCAGAAACACTCACACATGTCAGCTAATGACGTTAGCCACCGAGGCTAACAGAAAGAGCTCACCTGTTGATCTGACTCAGCTTTATCTGGCAACAGTCAGGGATTATCTCCAGCAGCTTGTTGTTGTGTGTCTGTGTGAAGCTGACACACAGATCTGTACAACAAGTGTTTGTAGTACAGTTTTATCCTCCTCCTTTGTTTCCACGGTACTAAAAACATGATTTATATTGATAATTAGACCAAACTTTGACTCATTTATTCAGCTGTTATATTTATGAACTCATCTTTGGTGTGTTTGCMTCAAAAAGTTCACTTGTTTATGTTCCTAAAGAGGATCCAGGTGTAAAAAAGACAGGAAGCAGCTTTCTGACAACATTCCTGATTGTTCCTGTTCAGACAGGTCCACAGAGGGTTCAGGTGTTCCTCTTCAGACAGGTCCACAGAGGGTTCAGGTGTTCCTCTTCAGACAGGTCCACAGAGGGTTCAGGTGTTCCTCTTCAGAC